GGTTCTCTTCTCTTCCATGTAAGATTTCATCATGTTCTGCACCGCTTGTGTTGATCCAACCATCACTTCTGATATTCTTCCTGCTGTCACAGCTGTTGCTGGCTTGCGACGAAGGAGAATACTGACAGCGGGGGTCTCCGTCGTTCCCTATCCGGCCACCAATGGCTTGCCTGCCATCACAAATTTGGGGTTCTTTCTCGTCTGTGCTTGTGCGCCCACCGCTTCTTCTGGTTCTCCTTCTGTCGGTGCCACCATCCTCACTCACGAGATCGTCGATAGTGATGTAAGTCTTTCCGTCTTCGCTACCACTGCTGCCGCCGCTGCTCTTGATACTACGGTCGTGACGACTCCTATCGTTGCTGCTGAAGCTGCTGCTGCTGCAACTCCTGCTACCATTGCTGTCGATGCGGCGTCCGCGTTGCTGCCGGCCGTGGGTAGAGCCGAAACCACTGCGACGCTCGTCATTAGACTCACGCGTGGCAGCATTGCTGCGCCTTCGTCTTATGACCCCTCTCCTGCTTCCGATCCCTCCGTAGGATGAAGCGGCACTAGATGGGGGTGAGTCGGTAGGGGGTGGAACCAGAAATGCCCCTCGGTTTCCGCCGGACCTGCCAATACCGTTTTTTGGTGTTGGTACGACTAAAACTCGCGGACCTCGACCACCTGCATTGGCCTGCTTTTTCATGCCGCCGTGCATCTCCCCACTGTCTTCGTCAGAGGAACTCTTTGCCCTGTTGAATTGGCACGTGAACAGGTATGGGTTGGCAACAATTTGGTCAGGCGTAGAGGTCAACGCGAGACCAACGGCGCTGAATGAGAGCTCTCAGGTGCGCCGGCTCCGAGGTGCTCTTGCAAACTGCTGAGCTAATTCTACGCGGTTCTGTATGTACCTCTATTGACGAGATTGAAGAACACTCCACACACAAACAGATACCAAGTAGAACCATAACATCGTCAGCTTATTCAATGTTGCTGCGTCTTTCATCAGTGAATGCCAAATATCAATCCAGGCTATTATGATGTGGGATCGTTGATCATAGGCGTCGCTAACAATCTTCCACACAACCCGATTACAGAAATCTCCGTAGGACGGTACTACGGCTTAGTTCTGATCATATCATTCGTGTACAACAGCAGCAGCACTGCGTATCATACCTCCCGATCGGCTCAGCCTCTCGTTGCGCCGATCTACGGGCAAGGTGCGGTGGAGGGATAGTAGGAGGTGGTCGTGCACGGCTCGCTGAATCAGGATTATTCCCTCTCCCCTCGCCTCGTCGTCGGTCGGACCTTACCGAGCGGCCGCTTCCTGCGTCGACACGGCCAGCGTGGAGTTCAGACGAAGCTGCTGCCGTGCTACTGTCGCCCAATGCGGTCCATTTCCCACCTTTGAGGTTTTTCATTGCAGATGGAGGATCACCTTCGGTACTGCCAAAGCTCTGGGTTGGGCGAAAGAGCGCTGTGTCTCCGGCCGCCGTCGAGGTACCACCGACTTGCCCACTGCTCGTCATGACGGGGCCAAGTGGTCAAACTCACGACTTCCGTCGATTGCAATACACCTATTGACTGCGAGGTCCTGCAGTGGCGAGCAATTCAAGGCCCCTTCTCCCTTCCTTGGTTGTGGTGTCTATCGTGCTGCAAGACTTGAACGTGCTTGGTTCTGCGCCACGGAAGGCGCTACTGCTGTACGTATCTCTTCTGGGCAAAATACACGCCCGTTGACCTCCAACCAGCGACTAGGACAGCAGCCCTGTGGCCGGTTTGGTTTTGACAGTACTTTCGCCAGTTGTCGTCGTGCGCACGCGAGAAGAAATAGCAGGCCAGTGGTCGTCCGTTTCCTTGTTGCAAGGTGCCGGTTCACGGAGAGATCCCCCCCGCCCACCGAAATAATGTAGATTGGCGTTTGCTCTCGAAACACTGAACTGTCAGCCCCATGAAGATGCGAGACTGATCAAGGACGTGATGGCTGATGGCACAGCGAAGCACAAACGTACCATTCACTATACATACGCTTATGAAACCCTGAATCAGAGTTGTTGGAGTATTGCACCTGGGCATTCGTCATACCTCTCGCTCGGTACGCGAGTGTGTGCTGTGGACGACACAATCGCGCCGTCTTCTTGCTGTTCATCGGCTGAACGTCACCGCGGTCGCCGGCCGCCGGTAGTCTAGTGCTCAGGGGCCAGAGGTGTGCCGGTAAGGTCATGTTAAACAGAGTCTCCAGCTGATACTGCCCCGTTGCTGCATCGTATGCTCGGTCACGCAATAGTAGCTGATACTTGAGTTGCCTTACCCCTTTAGACGTTTATCTACTACACAGATCTACAATAATCTCGACAGTAACCTCTCCTGATAGAAAACCTCGAAGCTCGAGGTGATAAAAGTACGACTGCCGGTTACGAAGCAATTTGAAGAGCGCGCAAGAGGGAAAGCAGAGGTGTCATTGACACAAGTTGGAAAAGCTTTCGCGTATCTACGCTAAGTCCGAGTATGCCAAGCTGACCTGCCACCACCTTGATTGGCGACGGAGCAATCTTGAACGGGGTCAAATCTGAGTGTAAGTATACCCCGGCATTCCACCCACTTTGCCTGCGCGGCGGCGTGCAGTTTCCCCCCCGATCAACATGGCACGCCTTGTTCGTTTTGCGTTTGAAGAAAGGAAACATATCGGTCATTTTGCAAGTGCCGACCCACAATATATTTTCTCAAGATTTTTTTTTTCTCAATGATCAGGATCGACTGTTTCTACAGCCAGTCTGGCCGGTAACGAGGCACATAGGCTTAAAGCTCGCTTTGACACTGACAAGAGGAGCCACGAGATCACGCTCTTGGCCTGGACGCAAAGTTTCGAAACAAATGGCGTAGATACAGCCATGTGTAAACACGATAGGGCTGTGAAGGGCGGTCAGAGTACCAATGGCGTCTGGGTGCGAACGAGACCCACCCGCAGTGTTTTGAGTTGAGTGCCCCGAAGCGACGGCAAAGTCTAGCTTAACATCTTTGCATGTATGTTCTGGCTTTCAAGAGCTTTGCTTGAGCAACGTGCTGCAGTAGATGCGTATGTTGTCGGAGATGTGCATCATGGCTGGATACTTGCAGTAGAATGATGAGCCACGCAATTCTCTCTGTCTAGTCGATTGCAGCAACACGACAAGACGTCTCTGTCTGTGTGATGCATTAGTCTATATGTATGTGCAAGTACGTGCGTTCTACGCGTGTAGCCTAGGGATGATAGGTTGAGAGTTTTGTCCTAGATACACAGCAGTGAGTCTCGGGGATAAGCGTCTCTGCAGCAGCGGGTGTGTGCTGTGTGCAGCGGTCGCTTCGTAGGCTGTGGTTGTACAGCAGCCTACACAGAGGTTACACTTCGAGTGCGGGTGCAACTTGATGTGTGCCTCGGAACAGAGCAAAGAAAGATGTGTGATTACTGACTGACTCCCGCGTCAGGTTTTGATGGTGCTAAAGTGGAGTGAGCACAAAGGGGGCGAGAGCGTGCTTGTGTTTCATCTGGAAAACAAAAAACAATATCACACAACCGTCCAAAACAGGGTTCTCCCGAGATCTACTCGCTGTACTGGTCTTTCGGGGTCTTTTTCGGACAACCCAAGAAAAATTCACCGCAAATATTCCGACAATCTCTCTGACGTATTCAGAGTCTCCCTGCTCGACTTCTACACGCAGGCCTCTACCGCTGCTGTGTATCTAGGACAAAACTCTCAACCTATCATCCCTAGGCTACACGCGTAGAACGGACGTATTTGCACATATAGACAATATGCATCACACAGACAGAGACGTCTTGTGTTGCTGCAATCGACTACAGAGAGATTTGCGTGCCTCATGATGGAATGCTATTGCAGGTATCCAGCGTGACTCATGATGCTACTGCAGGTATCCAGCCATGATGCATATCTCCGACACGACCCCTCGATCAAGTAACACGGCAAACGGTGCAGCTCCCAAGACTTATCAATAATCAACCAACGATCGACTACTGATAGCAGTACTACTTTGACAAACGAACGCGAAAGGCTGGCGACCGATGTCGTCACAAACTTGTTTCCCGTCAGCGCGCCGGCGAACTTTCGTGTGTCGCTACTTGCTGCTTCGATCATCATATATAGACTATCATGTATATCAGTTGTCTACACTCCCCCCCATACACACAATTTTTGCCCGGGAAAGGTAAGACTCTCATGCTGCTGCGTATCATACCATGCAGATCGTCCCTACCTACCGCTGGCTACGCATTGCGTCATACAGAGGAATATCCCCAACACGACTCCACGTTGGAAATATCACTGCAACAAATGTCTATCCATGACCAGAGTAGCTCTGTAACCTTGCCTCTCACGCAAAGTTTATCTGCATTTTGGTCCAAGCATAAAAAAGTCCAACTTCTTTCGTACACACCATACAGCAGTACTGCTGCTGTGTTCCGCAAGACTTGCAACACGCACCACTTGCTCTACCGATCGCGGACAGGGTATTCTTCAACAGCTCAAAGCGACTACGATCCAACTATGACTGCGAGCGGTCACTCAATTAGATTGCAGGCAAACACTGAAATACAGTACGCCATCCACCTGAGCATTCTCCAGCAGACTCAAGAGGCGAACATATTGTGTAACTCAGACGGAATATCTCCTGATCTCAAGCCCAAAGAAAATCAACCAGACAGGAGTTCACGCCCATACCCGCACACATGTTTCGTCCTAGCTCCCTCGGAGCTCAGGGCAGTCTTCCGTTTGAGGATGTCTCCCTCAGATGGATGCTGAGCTCGAAGTCGTACCCTCCGTCGTCCTTGCTGTGTCTTTTGTTGTATCCTCCCTCGGTTCCGCAGAGGTTGGTGGCATGGTTTGCCTTGATCCGATCATTCCTTCCGAAAGAAAAATTTAGGTCCGAGATTTTTGAACGTTCCACCACACGAGGCAGATCTGTCTCGGTGTACGCCTATTCGTCCGCGTATATTGTGTCATGAGCTTTCCGATATCCCCATAGGCTCAGCACGTGAAGTTCTTGATGTGGTCCAGAAGAGAGATGAACTGCTGTCTCGACAGGTGTTTTGTTGCCACGTCTGCCAGCATCGCCTGGCTCTCCTTGTGGTGAATACTGATCTTGTTCCTCTTGACCAGCTCGCGTTGGAAGGAGAACCTGAGAGCAATGTGCTTCGTCCAGGAGCTTAACATGGCGTTGCCTGCTACACTGCCTGTGATGCACTGGTACGGCTTGGTGTATGCCGCCCCGGATAGCTTGTCCGCTGGCTGATCAGTCGAGACTTCTGGTCCATACCCTGGAGTGCCAACGGGGTTACAGTTCTCCAACTGGTAGACCATGATGTCCCCGGCCGCGGGATGCTTCGTGTCTTGTCCTGGGTCGGGCTTGACCCGGACGTCTTTGTCGATCGCAGACTGCAGGAACGCCACGGTGGCGTCCATCGGATAGACCGGCCATCGTTGTTCGCTTGCTATAGCGAGGAAGGTGCGAACACTCCCGATGTCGCACACCGGTGCGTAGCTCCTCCCGTAGTCGATGCAAGACTCCTGCGCGTAGCTCCTCCCGTAGTCGATGCCAGACTCCTGCACGTACCATTGAACCACCAGCTTGACCTTAATTTTTTCGTCGGGCTTCTGTTTGGAGGTGTTCGGGATTTTGATGGGCTCCTCCTCCAAGAATCCTTGCTGGATGGGGTGCCTGTGGCGTACATATAGGCCCGCAATGCTGGGATCGATTCTTTGCCCAAATGAGGAAATTCCGGAGCGACGCTGGCGTGATCGTGGTAGGTCTTGTTGGCGAGATCCAACAGCCGTGCGGACGTCGGCGCGCTGGGGTCGGGCCGCATCATCGTGGCCGTCATGCATCCGTTTCCGCTGAGGTCCATGGAGACTTCCAAGGAGCTTGGTGCAAGGGAGGGTTCGATCGAATCAGAGGCGTTCGGCCTCCTCCTGGTGGCAGCGTGGGTCGCTTCAAGCGGCCGCGTTTTCCCCTGGGTCAGCTTCGGCGCGGCGATACTTTTTGCCTGTGCAGCATCTGGGTCGTCGCGCGGATCCTGTTTCAGCGGCAAAGTGTGGCCTCCTACCGCGAGGTGAGGGTTGCCTTCCTCGATGACGAGCTTGACACCATTCTTTATCTGCGCGGTAGACGAGAAGACGTTGCGTCCGAGGCCGGGGACGACTATTCCTCGCAGGAGCACGGCCTGCTTCTCGCCGTTGCTGTCCTTGACGGTGCAATGAATGAGTCCTGTGGCGTTCCCGTCCAGCTCGTGGTCACCGCGGACCGAGACCACCTTAGGTTTGGCGAGTTCCTTGTGTTCCCGCATTATTTCCTTCAAACCTGGGATGAGGCAGTCGTCGAGCATATTCTCGGATGCTCCGGTGTCTATAAGCAGGGTGGCTCCGGCGGCGTTGGGCTTGAGCTCTCCCCCTTCGTGAGCGGTGGCGTACATGAATGCTTCCTCTGACTCGCCATCTGCGCTCAAGTCGATTTCGGCGTTCGTGCTGCTCGCCCCCAGCGGAGTGGCTCCGGTAGCCATGGGCTTGAGGTCCTCCCCTTTGTGGACGATGGCGTACATGAATCCTTCCTCTGATTCGCCCTCTGCGCTGAAGTCGATTTCGGCTTGCGTACTGCTTGCCTCCTGCTTTGTCATGGCTAGTTCCGTTTTGTTGCTGGTGGAGAAGCAGTGTGTACAACTAGCGCATGCGGAAAGGGCCTTGCCCGTGTTGCTGGATTTTTTCGGCCGCGTCGCTCCTTGCTCGAAGCATTCTTCGTCGGAGTGCCTGGTCGTGAAGTGAACCGAACACCACTTGGCGGCTCCGGCAGGCTTAGTCTTCTTCTTTCCCTTGCCTCTCTTTTCAGAGCAGTTCCTCCAAATGTGTCCCTTTTCTCCGCAGTCGAAACAAGTCGGTTCCTCTGAGGTAGTGGCAGTCATGGCGAAACCGCGCCCAGCGATGCTGCCCTTCGGCCCGTTGCGAGATTGCTCGTCAAGGAACATGTGACGCATGGTGGTTTGCATCTTGTCGACGTTGAAGTCTGGGTCGCGGTACATGATCATCTTGACGTCCTTGTACTCGTTGGTGAAGCCGGTGACGCATTCGTCATTGAAGTAGCAGTCCGAGATCGTTTCCCCCATCTTCTCAGCCTTGTGTCGTAGGAGGTGCTTCTGGTTGAAGTAGTCGTCCGGGTTCTGCCTGGGTTCCATGGGTGTGTTGATCAGCTCCTCCATGGTTGCTCGAATCACTTCGTCCGTAACTTTGTTGTAGTTCAAGTTCAATTCCTGGAAGGCTGCCTGACCGTCTCCGCTGATCTTGCTGTCGTCCTCGTGCTTCTGTACCGAAAGGGACGCCGGTAGTTCCACCAGCCGGTAGAGTATGGCGTACAGGTCCTCGTTCGACTTGCAGTAGGCGGCGTAGTCATCGTCGGTTTCCGCGGGCCTACTCCGGCCTTTCAGCAGTGGAAGGATGTCCCTGCGCGTACCTCCCAGGACGACGCAGAGCCCGTAGAACGTCTTCAGCCCTCGAATAGCGTTGGCGAGATTGGAGGTATTGTCGCCGGGCGAATAATCACCCATCCTGGTATGTCGTTTCTACTATAGTGATGCGCTCCTGTTGCCGTGTGGTGTACAGGACGATGCTGATTTCCATGCTGTCTGTTGTAGCACTCCCTCCCGTCGTAGGAGTTGTTCGCTCGTGGTGTGAACCCGAGGCTTCCCGACCCCGCTCCTGTTCAATAGGATTGCGGTTGCAAGTCGTCCTTTCCCGACCCCGCTCCTGCTCAAAAGGATTGCGGTTGTAGGTCGTCCTTTCCCGGTCCCGCTCCTGTTAACCCTCTCGTTGGGTGTGTAGGACTATGGTGCAGACCGTCTCGACCCCGCTCCTGCTCAAAAGGAATACGATTGTAGGTCGTCCTTTCCCGACCCCGCTCCTGCTCAAAAGGATTGCGGTTCGTCCTTTCCCGGCCCCGTTCCTGTTTACCCTCTCGTTACGATTGGGTATATAGGACTTCGGTGCAGACCGTCTCGACCCGCTCCTGCTCAAAAGGATTACGGTTGTAGGTCACCCTTTCCCGGCCCCGCTCCTGTTTACCCTCTCCTTGCGCATGGGTGTTTGTTTTTGTTTTGTTTGTTTCTCTCCCATCATTGGACTCTGCCGTCTGCCCCTCTGGCCCCTATCCTCCACTTCTACTGGCTAGACGACCCAACCGGGGTCACATAGGAGGGGGGGGTTGGACCCCCCTCCTGCGGTTCATGCCTGAGGTATTTTTATCGCGAGAAGGGTACAGCAATCCCTTCCCTCGCGACTTACGAAGTCGATTATGGTTTACTAACAAACGAGCTTTGCAGCGCGTCGCTTTCATCCTAGACCAGGATTTATTTAGTGAGAAAAAAACTCTCCCTGCCGGGACTCGAACCCATGACCTGGCCCTTAGCAGGCTGCGAGGCTACCCACTAGACCACCGGGGCGACCGGTTGTGTGTTGTATGGGGTATAGGACTACGGTGTGGACCGTCCCTTCTGGTGATGCAGCAGTTATCTGCTCTGTGTATGAGCTCTTGTTTTCAGCGAACTTCTTGGTGATTACAGCACTGAAGGAGCCCCCCCCACTGTGTGAAGCCCCTGTGTTGTGTGTGTGAAACTGTAAGTGGCTTACTTGTGTTCCTTAGTCGGAGCTCGTTCGTCCTGGCTCGACCTCGTATCTTCTTGATCTCTGAACCGAAAGCTGAACCGAATGCTAAACCGTTTCCCGCTGTATCTTCTTTGCAGTTGAAGCACAGAAGCCTGGTGAAGCTAGGAGGTCCGGTAGCTGAACTCGTTGTCTTATCCACAGCTCGATGTGTACGCATTCATGCGAGGCTCATAACCTCTCGAGGATAAGCGTCTCTGCAGCAGCGGGTGTGTGCTGTGTGCAGCGGTCGCTTCGTAGGCTGTGGTTGTACAGCAGCTGTGGTTATACAGCAGCTGTGGTTGTACAGCAGCCTACTATCTACACAGAGGTTACACTTCGAGTGCGGGTGCAACTTGATGTGTGCCTCGGAACGAAGAAGCAAATAAAGATGTTTGATTACTGTTTGACTCCCGCGTCAGGTTTTGATGGTGCTAAAGTGGAGTGAGCACAAAGGGGACGAGACCGCGCTTGTGTCTCATCCGGAAAGCAAAAAACAAAATCACACAACCGTCCAAAACAGGGTTCTCCCGAGATCTACTTGCTGTATAGATGGTTTAACTTCTGGAGATAAACGATACGCTCTCGGCTCGTAGCCACCCGGCTGGTCACCGGGATTTTAGAAGTAGGGATCTCCGCGGACGTACCCCTCGCCAGACGCTGCCTGAGGAGAACTTAATGGTGCTTGGGAAAGTGAGCAGCCGGGATTCGAACCCGTGCGTGCACTCTTTAGCTCCAAAATTTAAACCATTAGATAGACTAGACTAGTCAGTCCTGACTTGGTAGTCTAGTCTAGACTTATCTAGTAGTCTGACTCGTCTATCTAATGGATGAGCCTTTCTAACAAAATACACACTCTCGAGTCGTCGCCACCCGGCTGGTCACTGGGATTAGAAGTAAGTAGGGATCTCTGGGGACGGACCCATCGCCAGACGCTTAACTGTGCTTGAGAGAGTGAGCAGCCGGGATTCGAACCCGTGCGTGCATACTTCATCTCCAAGTGTTAAACCATTAGTAGTCTAGACTAGTCAACGCTGACTTGTCCAATAGTCTAATTAGTCTAATGGTGTAACTTTATCTAACAAGGTCATCTACAAGGCAGCAGGGGCTGTAGGAGCGGTCCTTTGCACTACTTTCACACGCGGGACAATCCAAGAAGGAATGAGAGCAGCTCAGGTGAGACCAGTAGCCGCAAAAAGAAACAATGCTAGAACAAAATGGGAGCGCTACAGGTACAGGTCCTTCGTGGCCGGTCTTACCCCATCTTCCTCACCACGCGTTGCACACACCTGATACCGCGATCCAAAGTCGCAGCAGCAGGTCTGATTTAGCCTCCTACTCGCCAAACGCACTCCCGGCCACGCTATCCCACCTACTTTGATCCCGAACATACATGCCCCCCCCCCCCTCCTGC